TTGGTGTATGGGACAACGCTCCAACCAACTGAGCCATACAGGTCAGGGCCCAGCTCACTTTTTACTACGTCCCTCTTTATTTAAATTTCTAAATATATCTATCCTTTCTCCCTAGAAGCAGAGATTCACCAATGCTAAGCTTCTCTGGGACATAACTGTGAGGGGAAATGGGAAAGGGTCTCTATTGTGTTTAAGGTTATAGAAACACAGGGTCAGTGATGTGAGCCTCCCTTCTAACACAATACGTTAAGCTGCTGACCTTGGTGTTTATTTATATATTTCAGTTTGGAAAAGGAATCTACTTTGCTGACATGTCTTCCAAGAGTGCCAATTACTGCTTCGCCTCTCGCCTAAAGGATATTGGATTACTGCTCCTATCAGAGGTAGGGCAAGAACACATCTATAGTCTCTAGTTTATTATCCCTGTTTTTCCAAAGAAAAGTTTGACCACAAAGAACTTGAGTGGGGAGCCAAGTGCAATTTCCATTGCATTCGATTCCTCTGCTACAGGGGAAGAAAGTACTGATGGGCTTTTCTGTTGGCTTCAGAGCCATCCAATTCTTGGTAGGGGGTGGGCATTCAAAGATCTTTTGCTTTGCAGGTAGCTCTAGGTCAGTGTAATGAGCTACTGGAGGCCAACCCAGAGGCAGAAGGATTACTTCAGGGCAAACACAGCACCAAAGGACTGGGCAAGATGGCTCCCAATCCTGCGAGCTCCGTCACTCTGTAAGTACTCAGCTTGGCTAGATAGGGCTCTACTTTCTCTGTTTCAACTTCTGAACCAGAGGCAAGTGTTGACATGCTTTCCTCCACTTGGCAGGAATGGGAGTACAGTGCCCTTAGGACCAGCACATGACACAGGAATTCTGAATCCAGATGGTTATACCCTTAACTACAATGAATTTATTGTCTATAACCCCAACCAGGTCCGTATGCGATACCTTCTAAAGGTTCAATTTAATTTCCTGCAGCTGTGGTAACATTGATATTAAATAAACCAGAGAAGATATCTTCAAGCAAGGAAATAAACAATGTTGTACTTTTGAACTTTTTCTTATTTTATGTAATAAAAATAGTACAAATCTACCACTGGCTTCTTTGGGCTTTACTTCTGCAAGCACATAGTTCTTCTGATGTTAGTGTATCTTCATTTCCAGGACAGAAAGTATAATTATTATTTGTATCTCACAGGTATCTAGGATCCTGGGGGTTGTTTCTTTTCTTTTTCTTTCTTTTTTAAAATTTTTTATTAAAGTATAGCTGGCATACATACAACATTATGTGAGT